ATGGTGGACGGCAGCCTCCCAATCTGCTCTAGTTTCATTCTAGGAAGCGGCTAACGCTCAGTGAGACTCTGGCTCAGGGGCAATAAGGGTCTTTGAGCTTCCCGGCAGGAGGCCGCCTCCAACGGTCAAGAGCTTGCACACTCGGCAGTTGGCGTACGTGATCCATGGAGCTGTGGCTTCTCTGTGCGCGTAGGCCTCTCCCGGCTGAGGAAGGTCATGGCAGAGCACGGCGGGGGTGGGGGCGCTTAGAGGACAGGGGACCCGAGGGCCTTCACCTGTGCTCCAGAAATGTGTTAGTTTGCGCTGATGTGCTGGGGCGCGGGGCCCGGGTCTGGAAGGTCGCCTTGGCACTGCTCCAGTCCTTCTTGCTTCCATTTCCCGAACACGATTAGCCCTTTCTTACTGGATATTATCTGAAAACACGTGGTTCTGATCCACGTGGATCCGCAGCCCACCACCCTACGTCGGGCTGCCCGCCTGAACGGAAGGTCACTCACTGATCCAGGAACCTATAAATCGCAAAGCAACCAACCGGGCCAACGGAGACCCCAGAGGGAGCGAAGGCGAGCAACGACCCGGCGAGGCTGGGATGTGGCTGCGCATGCGTCCCGTGCGCGAGGCCTTCGCTCACCTTTCGAAGCTCTGCGTCTCCCTGGAAACAGCAGGTGCCGGCCGTCGAGGAGTACAGTTTGGTCATTTTTGACGGACACGGTGGGACAATCAACGTGACCGTTCAGACGTGGGGCCACGTGTTTCAGGCTCAGGGGCCTTGTCTACTCGGCAGACGTGGACAACCCCGCCTCACACACGTCTGAAGATGCGGAGGCTGTGGAGTGGACGCTTCTGGGTCCTGGGTCCTGGGTCCTGGGGCAGCAAGGCTGTGATGTGGCATGCCAGGAAGACCAGGGGCTCTGGTAGGGGCCCAGCGGGGCTGCTGGGCACCCAGTACCCACCAACGTCTCCATCCACAAGGGCCTCCGACCATCTATCTTCCCTAGATCCTATCCCTAGGCATGTCCTTAAGGGCCTGGTTTGGGGTGCTTTCAGGGCTTCTGGGGGGCTGCACTGTCACACATGCCATGTCTGCCGCAGCTGCCTGCTAGCGAGGCTCTGAGCAGGGCGTCTGTGCCCGTCCTCTCCCTCGGGTCACAGCAAGTGAGGAGTCGCCCTCCCATCACAAATGCGCCCCCAGCCGGGGCCGGGATCCCACCCTTCGTGCCTACTCAAACCCTGCACCCCCTCACCGAGCTTTCCTTCCCTGTCCACCTCTCTGCCGCCGTTGGTTAATGTCAAGCCGGTGCACGTGCTCCAGGAGCCCCCATCTCGGAAGGGAACCTCTGACTCCATCGTCTGGAGGCTAGACTGGCCCGCGTCCTCTCCCTCGAGAGCAGGCTCTGCGCTTGCCAGAAGCGCCTCCTGACCAGCCCTTCTCTCCTCATCCTCCTTCGTTCGGCTTCCAGACAACCGTCCCGATGACTCCCACGCTGCTGACCCCCAGATGCCAGCCCAGCGTCCGTTCCCCACTCCTCACTCGCCACGGCTGGTGGCTTCCTCCTCGGGAACACTCTCCTCCCCTGCTGCCCATGCATTACTCCGCCCTGGTTTTCCCCACGTATCTCAGGCTCCTCCTGCTCTGCTTCCTTGTCTGTGAGGTCATTCACATGGACCACCTGTGCAGGACCCAATCCCTTCAGATTTGCCGTCAGGCTGCGTTCTCTCCTCCCTGTCCTCCCTGTCCTCCCGCTCCTCCCACTCCTCCCTCTCTAGGGGACTTGGATCATTGTCACAGCTCTAAATGCCACACGTCAACTAATGACCTGAACTGACATCTTTGGCCCAACCTTTTCCCCAAGTTCCAGATTCGTATGTCGAGCTTCCACTTGACATGTCCTTTGAGATGTCCTCTCCCCAGCGGGCCCCTCCGTCCCCACCTCAGGTGTCTGCATCCCGGTTGCTCAGTTCACAAACCTCGACCTCCTTGACCACGCACACATTCTCCCGCAGCCTTAGGCTCATCTCCTGCTCCATCACCAGTTCTCCTCGCCGAATGCTGGCCACACACCTCCGGCCTCCAATCTGTCTACCTCTTTCCCTCTCGCTGCTGCCACGTGGGCTCAATGCCACGGTCTCTCACCGAGAATGGTGCTAACAGTCTCCCTGGCTCCATACTTACCCGCCCTACCCAACCCCCCCCATCCATCGCGCATCGTCTCTACGATAATCAGAACAGCTTTTAAAAAAAATAATAAATTCATCCCACTCCTTTGTTTTTAAAGTCTTCGGTGGCTTCTTACCACAAATAGAATAAAATGTCTCATCATCACTGGAAGGTCCTCCTCGACCTGTGCCCTGCTCACGTCTACAGCTGTCTCCTGCTAGTAAGTCCCTGGCCCACTGCCTTACAGCCGCGCGGGGTCTCCTTCTGCCAAAGTGCCTTTGCACATGGTGCCTCCTCTCCCTAGAAGGCTCCTCTTGCTCTCCTTGAGGTTGGCTCCTCTTCGGCTGTCAGGTCACATCCTCCAAAAGGCCTTCTCTGGTCACCCCCGTATTTAACAGGATATGTGACGTTCTCATCCCCCTACTTCAAATTTTTGAGCATCTGCTTAATTTCCCCTCCCCCCAAAGCATTCACAGTTTGGAATCATTTATTTATGATCTGTCTCCCCACTGGATTGACGTCCACGAGGGACTGGAATCTGTCTGCTTTGCTGACAACTCCTGCCAGGGCCGGGCACAGGCTAAAGGCTCAAGAACGAGACCTTGAATGAGAACCAGAGCAAAGGAACAGTGTAGACAAAGCCCCAGCCAAATCACACAGCCATGGCGCAGACACTCAGAGGTCGGACCTGCTTGCTACCAAAGCGTTAGAACTCTGTACGTCTCAGTGTCACTAGCGCCATCGTAGAATGCAGAGCTTCAAAGACAACGATTTTCAGAGCAGTCATACATTCACCGCGTGCAGCTCGTTTAGGACCGGCGGGCGGGGTGGCAGGTGCAGGTGTCCCAGGGACGTGGACTGATCGCCGTATGTCGATCACATGCCTCAGGTGTCCCTTCACTGTCCCCCTCTCTTTTTCCTAAAACCGGTTTCCATCGCCTCCGTCCTCGCAGAGCCACCAGCAAGTAGGGACGCTGTCCGCCCTCTGCCGTCCCGCCGTCCGCCCCCGGCCCCGTCGGGAAGACCCAGGCAGAACAAGGCAGGAGGACTGTGCCCCTCCTCGGCCTCATTCTTCAGCCTGCCTCCCAGACGCTGTCCCTCCCCTCTCTGCAGGCACCTCACGCAATCAGCGGTGGTTTCTCCCTCCAACGTGTCTCCCTGGGCTCAACGTCTCCATGTAGCTAACAGGCTGAAATCCTTCCTACCTTAAAAAAATAAGACGCAAATAAAAATTTAAAGACACTCTCTCGATTCTATAACTGACCTTTTTTTTTTTCTTTTTCTGGCTACGATGCACTCTCCTTTTCAACTCAAAGCTTTTAGGAAGAGCAAACCGCCCTTCCTGTCCTCTGGCCCCCAGATTATGTGGGTAAAGGCCCATCGGGACTTCACGAGGCTCTCACGCCCCGGACACGCTCCTAAAGCCTAAGTCCTGCGCACACGCTCCCTGCAACAAGGCATCCCTCTAACTTCCTTATTCTACCCCCGCGCCCCCTCCGTCCGAGTCCGAGCACACCCTCCCTTCTTTATTTGGAAAACCCACAGGGCCCTCTGCCCTCCGAGGGAGCTCCACAGCTGGCCTTTCTCCATCATCCTATTTCACTGCCTCCACCCTTGCTGCCCGTGTGCAATCTCCCAGCCCCGTCTGGGCGCCCTTTGCTGCCCTCCCGCCTCGGCAACCCCCCTGGGCCCCTGCTATGCTAATACCAGGGCGGCTGCACCTGCCCACACGTAAAACCCCTCCCTAGCCCACTGCCGGCTGATGAGGCCCAGGCTCGTTCGCAGGCCGCCCTCCGCGCCCTGGCCCGTCCCCTGTGCAGCTCCCTCCCCCTCGCACTGCCCTCCAGCCCGGCCTGGTGCCGCCCCTGCGGCTGCCCAGCCTGAACCCCCCCAGGCCCGGCCCTTCCCAGAGCTCCCCGGCCCCTGATCCTCCTCCCCCAGGCCAGGTGGTTCCCCAATACCCGTGCCTTTTTACTATGATGGAATTTATCACCCTGAGCAGACACCAGGCACCTGCCAGTCTCTTCCACCAGACTCGGAGCCCCCGAGACCCGTGGGAACCGTGTGCCGTCATCTCTGATCTCGCAGCGCCCGGCACCACGTCCGAGATGAAGTAGGATTTCTTTTTTTTTTTTTTTTTTTTTTTTTTTTTAATATTTTTTTATTTTATTTATTTATGATAGTCACAGAGAGAGAGAGAGAGAGAGGCAGAGACACAGGCAGAGGGAGAAGCAGGCTCCATGATGCACCGGGAGCCCGACGTGGGATTCGATCCCGGGTCTCCAGGATCGCGCCCTGGGCCAAAGGCAGGCGCCAAACCGCTGCGCCACCCAGGGATCCCTGAAGTAGGATTTCTAAATGAACATTTTTGAGGCCATGATCCCACCTCTCGGGCTGCAAGGCCTCAAGTCCTCCCCGTGCTGCTCACTCCCTTAAGTTTCCTGGTTCCCGAAGTCCTCTGCCCTCTTCTTGACTTTAACACTTCAATTGTTATGCTTCCATGTTGGTTCCAAGGTCAAGGTCCGCAGGTTATGGCACAGACGTCTATAGCTACAATATCCCCTGTGAACGGTCCCTCAGGGGTAGGCGCCAGGCCACCAAATTCTGATTTCCCTAAGTTGGGTCCCTAGGTCTGTGCGGGCACACAAGGGATTGAAAGGTGACCAGGGGACCACGGATCTGTCCTAAACCCCTCCTATGACGATGGTGATCCAATGTGACCATGCAAGCGACGCTCTTGGTCCCCTAAACCTCACTGACAACGAATGGATCTGGAAAGCCCCGAAATTAAGTGAGGTGACCCAGCGGCAGCTGCCCCGGGCTCCGCTCGGCTGCGTTTGGCTCAGAGCCGGCTCTGGCCCTCGCCTCCTGGAGCTCGGGGGACGCAGAGTCCCACGTTTACCTCTTTAATGTGGAGAAAGTCCTTGGCATCAAAGGAAATGGCTGTGCTCGGGACGGGCACATCCTCATCCAACGCGCCGCAGTAGCTCACGTTCGTCTTCACAGCGAATGCCACGGGCTTGGACTGGGGACAGAAGCAGGGTGTGAGGATGGGGCAGGAAGGGGAGCCACTCCACATCCCTGGCAGCCTGGACAAATCCCCCGTGAGGACTCGAAAAGGGATTCCTCGCCATCAGCCCGACCGCCTTCCCCGCCCTGCGCTACCCGCCAGGCGCCCCCCACCGAGGACATGCCCTAAAGTCCTGGGGGGCGATGGGAGGACGGGGGTGGGGGGGCTCTCTTCTTGGCCCTCCACTCCTAAAACTGATTTTTGTCACTTTAAAGGGTGATAGATGCCCCGTGGGACACAGGAAATGTGTGCTAGGCCTTAAATTAAAAGGAGGTGGGAGTAAAATCAATTTTAAAAAAATTTTTTTGAAGTAGCCTCAGGTCTGTAAACCCCTGTGGAATCCCCCTTAGTGGAATGATCGCCTTGTCCTGCCCGGAAACAGGAAGGCCAGTCAGGGGTAGACAGAAGGCCCGGCGTCCCCTCCAAGCCAGCGGGAGCTGGTTCTGAAGCCTCCTAGGCCAAGCCCCACCCCGCAGAGGCTCCCGGCGGACGCAGCCCCTCGGCTGAGGGTCCCTGCAAAAGCCACTAGATGGCCTGCGAGGAAGCGGACCCGAGCCATGGCCACAAGGGAGGGTTGCAGGTTCCTGGGATCCCGGGCCCCTGCCCGGCCAGCCCCGCACCCCTCCGGCCAAGCCAGTGGACAGACGGGCCCCGGCAGATGCCCTGGACGGCGTCGCCCTCCTCCCATGGCTCTCAGAGAGCGTTTACTGTAAAAACAGAAGAAAGGAAGGGATTCGGATTATTTGAGCCTCCGTTTTTCCTCCAGAGGTCAGGCTGCATCAATGCACCCTGGACGCGTGTCACCGGGGGCAAGGGTGACCAAGCGGGCCACAGCCTCAGTCTCATTTTGCATAAAATCTGATGCAAAATGACATCAGACAGAGGGAGTCCAGGCTAAAAAAAATAAATAAAAATAAATAAATAATAAATAAATAAATAAATAAATAAATAAATAAATAAATAATAAAAAAAACAGCTTGGAAGGAACAGAACGGGGATCCCGGGTGACTCCTCTCAGATCCAGAGCAGGAGCTTGCCCCGTTGCCTCCCGCAGGCACAGAGATGCGGGGGCCGTGCCCTCTGCGCAGGCGAGGCCTAGGGGCTGTGGCTGCCCATGGACAAGCTCTGCACCCACGGGGGGATGGGTGCAGTGGGCAGCGGCGCCGGAGGACACAGGTGCGGGGCCCAGGCCTCCGTGGGGGCCCAGCCGCTTGGCCCGAGCCTGGCCAACAGGTGCAGGAGGGGCCGGGGCGGCACCTGCGGGCACTGCGCTGTGGAGCTAGCGAGGCTGGACAATCACCTTGGCTCTCTCCAGCTGGATGGCGGCCTGCTGCTCCCTCTCCTGCCGAATCGCCTCCCGGTCCTCTTCCAGAGACACATCGGAGTCGGACGGCCTGCTGGTGTAGGAATCCGCTGAGCCCTGCAAGGGAACACCCAGAGCCATTTACACCAAGGGCCGCGGCCTCCCCGTCGCGCGGCTCTCCCCTGCCGTCAGGCTCCGGGCACACGCTCGCCGCGGCCGCGGGTGCATGGTCACACCAATGCCCCAGGCCTCCCAGGGACCTGGGAGGTGGCAGGGCCACCGATCAAGGGCCAGGAGCTGAGCGGCAGTGAACACGGCGCTGACTGCGTGCCCAGGTCTTGAGGTTCCGGGCCCCCCCGCACGTTCAGCCGTAGTCCCGGTCTCCCGCTCACGTACGCAGGAGGGAACAAGGCCCTCAGCCCACGAGACGTCGGTTGTGCCCACAGCTTGGGCTACAGAGGACGGCTCTACCCAAGATGTCCACACGGCAATGCGGAGCCCTGCGGCCGTCATCGCGTCCCCCAAGCCGCTGTTCACACTGTTGAACCCACTGTGACAACCTCAGGCCCTGGGGGGCTCGGAAGGCGGTGGCGTGTCTGACTCATGGTCTCAGCTCGGCCATTTTCTCAGGGTTGTGAGCTCCGTGCCGGGCGTGGAGCTGCTTAGAGTGTCCCCCCCCGTCCCTCGCAGCCCCCCAACACAGCAAGCTCCAGTCATCGTCCCACGGGAGTCACACCCGGTCCCCGCGGCCACCATGCGTGAGCCTTCGGGATGAACACAAGGCTGTCCTCGATGGCAGCACACAGCCAGAGACACTACCTGAACCACCCCGGGGTCCAGCCTCACGGACGTGGCCAGGGTGCCGGGGCCGCCCAGCGTCACTCACTGCTCACGGCACAAGAGGACATGAAAACTACAGCAGCTACTTAAAAAGTCAAGAAAAAAAAATCCTTTAGGTTTGCCTCCCGGTTGCTAAGGAAACGTCGCCCTTGCCGTCCTTACGCTGCCATTACAGGTTGGTGTCTGCACAGATGACGACACTCGCACGGCACAGCTCTCGACAGACCCACTGTACTCGGTGGGTTCCAGAAATGCGCACAGATTCTGGAAAGCGGAGATGTCCACGTAGCTGAGAATTTGCTACCCGCTGCAAACACCGAAGCGCCCTAGGCATGGTGGCCGCTGAAACGGATCCTTTCAAGCTTCTCCTAAACTGGGAAATGTCGGGCTTAGCACAGATTTTCCCGGCGCCCGAGGTCAGCGACCCCTGCTTAGAGGTCTCATCAGAATGCCCGACAGAGGCTGGTTCTGGATCCTGCCTCTGCAACTCACTCTGGAAAACCGCGCGGGCCGCCCTGGCCACTCCAGGCTCCGCCGCTCCCTGCGCACAAGCAGACGCCGCTTACTTGGAAGACGCGAACGGAGTAAGATGTGACGAGCAGCTAACCCCCCCGCACCGCAGGGCCAGCACACAGCTCGCTGCCTTGCACGCCTCACCCCTGAAGCCCTGGAACAGTGCGGAAGCCATGGGCCGACTGGGCAGAGCCCTCCACCGAGCTGCTCTCATGCTCCAACACCTCCTCCAGGATGCAGCATGTGGCAAGCGCATCCTAAACAGCCATTCTCTTCCTCGTCTCCTAGTCCTGACACACCTACGCTGGGTTAAAGAAAATCAACAGATGCTAATCATTTTTTCAACTCATTTATAATATACATGCACAATAGCCCATCTCGAAAAGTCTCCATTTTTCTTGACATATCTGTTGCCAAAAAAACCCAATGCTTCCCCCCAATGCTTTACTGCGATGTAATTGGTGTAGGACATCGTGTAAGTTCCAGGTGTATGATTTGTTGAGACGATGCATTTATAAGTTGCAAAATGATCACAACTGTGGTAACTGCAATGTGTCCAAACCCAGGCCCTTGATGTGGTGCTTTTGGGGCACATGGGGGGTACAGGGGGTGAGCATCTGCCTTCAGCTCAGGGCGTGACCCTGGGGCCTGGGATTGAGTCCCACATCAGGCCCCCTGCATGGAGCCTGCTTCTCCCTCTGCCTGTGTCTCTGCTTCTCTCTCTGTGTCTCTCATGAATAAATAAAATAATTCAAAAAAAAGGAAAAGAAAAGAAAGTGCCCTTTATAGGGTAAATGTATTTGTCAAGCAAATCATAACCAAATTCCTCTGTGCAGAAGTGCTCGGGGAAAATCTGGATGTACAAGATGGATCGGAACAGGGCGACCGACTATTCTGGAGACCCCTCATTGCTAGAAAAAAAAAAAAGCTACCTTGAAGTCCTTTAAATGGGTTCTCTTGGAACACATCTTTTGTCCAAATTTAGGTGTACCTGCAGAAAATCCAGAGTAAGAGAGAAAGAAAACAATGTTTCTAAAATGCTACATATGAGAACCGGTCGGAGCTAGCTGGAGGTGCCGCCCCACTGACAGGTGGCACGTGCCGTCCATCATTTTAAGCTCCTGGACTGGCTGCGTGACGATGCCTGGGCCACCACGGGATTGTGCTGCGCGGAGTCAGGAAGGAGGCACCTGCCGCGTGCTGAGACCGTGTGCTGGGGAGGCCAGTGGCCGCAGCCCAGGAGCGGGCAGGCTGCCTGCTGGAGCCACGAGCAGGCGACCGCGACAGGCCGCCGGGGACACGGGGCACGGCTCACCCCCAAACCACCGTGACAACTCCTCATCCCAGCGTCCCCTCACCTCCAAGCACGCAGGAGGCGACTCAAAGGGCTCCTGCAAATGAACTTGATTTTGAAATGGGAACAAGACTGTGAAAATTTCAAAATTACGTAATGAGCTCTACTATTGCCAAATGTGTGAAAGCAGAAGCTTCTGTTTACTTCCCTGTTTCTAAGAATATTGGTAGAGGGAAAGCTAAAGCACCAGGATATTCGATATTCATTTTCATAATCACGGCATTACATCATTTCCACATTTACTCTGGTTTTTCTCCTCCCTCTCTTCCCCCTCCTCCCTCTTCGTCTCATCCTTCTCCCCCTCCACCTCCTCCTTCTTCTCCTCCCCCTCTTCCTCCCCCCTCCTCCCCCTCTTCCTTCTCCCTCTCCTCCTTTTCCCCTTCCTCCTCTTCCTCCTTCTCCTCCCCCTCCTCCCCCCCTCCTCTCCTCCTCCTCCTTCTTCTCCTCCCCCTCCTCCTCCCCCGTCCTCTTCCCCCTCCTCCTCTTCTTCCCCCTCTTCCTCCTCCTCCTCCTCCTCTGTCCCCTTCTCCTCCAAGTCCTTCTCCCCCTCCTCCTTCCTCTCCTCCTCCTCCCCCTCCTCCTTCTCCCCTCCTCCTCCTTCTCCCCCTCCCCCTCCTCCCTCTCCTCCTCCCCCCTCCTCCCCCTCCTCCCCCTCCCCCTCCCCCTCCTCCCCCTCTCCCTCCTCCCCTCCCCTCCTCCCCTTCCCCTCCTCCCCTTCCTCCCCTTCCCCATCCTCCCCCTCCCTCTTCTCCTCCTCCCTCTTCTTCTCATCCTTCTCCCCCTCCTCCTCCTTCTCCTCCTCCTCCCCCTCCTCCCCCCCTCCTCCTCCTCCCCATCCTTTTCCCCTTCCTCCTCCTCCCCATCCTTTTCCCCTTCCTCCTCCCCTCCTCCTCTTCCCCCTCCTCCTCCTCCTCCTCTTCCCCCTCCTCCTCCTCCCCGTCTTCCTCCTCCTCCTCCCCCTCCTCCTCCCCCACCTCCCTCCCCTCCTCCTCCTCCCCATCCTTTTCCCCTTCCCCCTCCTCCTTCTCCTCTCCTCCTCCTCCCCATCCTCTTCCCCCTCCTCCTCCTCTTCCCCCTCCTACTCCCCCTCCTCCTCTTCCGCCTCCTCCCCCTCCTGCTCCTCCCCCTCCCTCTCCTCTTCCCCCCTCCCATCCTCCTCCCCTTCCTCCCTCTCCCCATCCTCCTCCTCCCTCTTCTCCTCCCCCCCCTCCTCTTTTCAATGCCATCTACCTTTCTTTGAATAGGGAAGTCACCGCTGCTGTGCCTCAGGGTCCTAGGGAAAACAGAGGTCCACCATCAAGAGCCCAAATTCGGCCTGTGGACGAGTTCCGCTGGCTTGGCACAGCAGTGGTTTCTTGTTTCTATTTATTTGTTTGGTTTTGTTTCAACCGCGTGAAAGAGGGGCCAGACGTAGCCCAGGAGAAAGATGGAGAAGAAAACAGGAAGCCCCTGGGTTATGTACCAAGGCTCAGAGAGAAGAACCGCAAGAGCCACAGAGCGGCAAGAGGAGACGACCACCGGGTCCAGACCAGAGGAAGGCTCTGGAAGGGGAGGGGCTGCCGCGGGCTCAGTACAACCGAGGGCTGTGGCGGGAGCTGGTTACACATTCCTGATCAGGTGCAGGGAACTGGCAAGATGGCGACACTGAGGACGCCACGAGGACATAGGTGCACACGTAAAGGTCACCTGCTCGGGCAAAGCTGGAAGATGTGGCCCCGTTAGCTTTCCATTTTCCAGAATTCCACTTCATAAAAATTGGCAAAGCGTGGGCTAGCCGGCCTACTGGGTGAGCTGAGCCTGCGCAAAAGGCACAGAGAAGCCAGCCCGGGGGTTCCCACGCAGACCTGGGACAAACCAGAGCTTGGGGCGCCAACGAGCCAACGACCTCAGGAGCGAACGGAAGCAGGTCTCTCCTTCAAGATGCTGCTGTAGGTGGACACGTGCACATGCGCACGTGCGTGGACATGCATGGACACCATTTAGAGGCCGTAACATAATGCATAGTAGCGAACGCCCAAGAAACGGGCTCCCGGGTGGCTGCGTCCGGGTGTCGGCTCAGGTCATGGCCTGGGGTCCTGAGCGCCCACCCTGCACCCGGCTCTGTGCTCACCAGGGAGTCTGCTTGAGGGTCCTCTCCACCCCCTCCGCCCCGCCGTTGCCCTTCTCCCCTGCTCATTCTCTCTCTAAAATAAATCTTGGAAAAAAAAAAAAGAAAGAAAGAAATGCCTATCTTTCCATTAACATAAGGCTCAGACTCTTTCTCTGCCTTTTTTTCAATATTGAAAACAGATTCATGCCTTTTCACGAATCTCAAGCACCAAATACAAAACAGTGATAGAAACACTGGAGCATCAGTTTACTGTTGTTGTGGAGGAAGGAAAGTGGCCTCAAGTCAAATAACGGAAGGGCCCCCCATTCCCAGAGAGGGGGCCTGGCGCCGGGGAGGAGGCACCCACGGGCTGCACTTGACGCCCTTGCCGGGTCCTACCGGCCACACATCTTGGGCAACAGATTCAACGTTCTGAGTGTCCACGTCCTCCCCCGCGGACGAGGATGATGATACACACCCTGGCGCGTCTCCTGTGCTTGGGTGGAGAGGGAACGCCCCTCCTTCTGCCACCATTAGGGAGATTCATGAAATGCCAGCAACTAATCTTTGACTCACTCAAGCTCTGCACCTTGTCGGCAGTACAGCTTTGGCTGCCCCGGGGTTTCAGGATCTACAGCTTGTTCTTTTATTCATTTATTATTTAAAAAAAAAAGTGTTACTGAGGCATGATTTATATTCACACATTTAAAATGTACG